CGCCCAGGGCGCCCCCCCCAGCCACTGGGGTCCCATGAGAGGGTGTTCTTCACCCCGCAACAGCGCTGGGAGCTGCCTCCCCCCCACCTCCGGGGAGCTCGGTGCAGCTGGAATTTCGGGGAATGCAGGGAATGCGCCGGGATTTCCGCCGGCCGGGCTGCAGGAGGGGGCTGCAGTCCCCAGCCGTGGGTGGCCGTGGTTTGGGGGTGATCCTGGGGGGGGGGTCCCCACCCTGTCCCCCCCATCCCGCCATCACACGCCAGCGCTGCTGGGTGCTTTGCATCCTGCGGCCCCGGGGGGCAGCCGGGGCCTTGGGTGCACCGAGCTCTGCACGGCCTCAGCTCCACCTCGGCACTGGGGCGCGGGCAGCCCCGGCGCACCCACGTGGGCCAGGTCACGGTGCGGGCGCCCACCGGCCCCGCCAGCCCGCCGGGCAGGGGGAGCCAGGGGAGCTCTGGCACCCCGACCCCAACCGCAGGAGCGCCGAGGCAGGGCTCGCTTGGCTTTTTCCCTTCCCTCCCCTCCGCATTCCCAAGTGCATCCAATTTTAGCAGCTTTGCAAAAACAAACCCTCAAGTTTCCCGGGCTGGAGCGGCGAGCAGCAGCGCGCGGCCGGCTCGCCGGGGAGGGCTCCTTCCCACTTCCCTCTTGACACCGATCCAGCCCCGGCAGAGCCGACAGCCCCGCGTGCCAGGAGCCGATTGCTGCTGTCTGCCGGCGCGAGGGGGAAAGGCCTCATATATAGACCCGCGGTGCCGCCGCGCTCGCCGTCACCAGCCGACCTGCCACCGCGCGGGCAGCCATGGGGGAGCTGGCGCTGGCCCTCCTGGCTCTTGCCGCCCTGCACGGTGCTGGGGCACCAGGTAAGGCCGGGTCTGCCATCTAACCGCAGCGCGGGGACCCATCCGTGCCACCGGCCGGGGGCATCCCTGCCCTCCTGGGGGCTGGTGGCAGCGGCGATGCGGGGCAGGATGGGGATGGGGCTGAACGCTCGCCAGATGCGTGCCAGGGCCAGATGTGCACCGGGGCCAGATGTGTGCCAGGGTCAGATGTGCACCAGGGCCAGATGTGTGCCAGGGTCAGAGGTGCACCAGGGTCATGGCCACGGCCGGGGACGGTCCCTCCGGCATGTGCCGGTGGGAGGACGCGTTGGCAAGGCTCGGGGCAGTTTTGCCCTCCCCGGGGCCGTGTCACCAGAGGGATGGGGACGTGCCCCGTGCCGTGTCCCCGCCAGCCCTGCCTGCTCCTGCGCCGGATAGCTGAGCACCTGCGGGAAGCCCCGGCTAGCTCGGCCACCCCAGCTGCTCCATGGTGCTTTTGCCCCCTGGTGCTTTTGCCCCCTGGTGCTGAGGACCCCCAGCCCTGTGGGGGTCTCCGCAAGGTGCCAAGGGCAGCATCCGGGCGAGACTGAGCCGGGAATGTCCCTGGTCCGGGGACAAAAATCCATCCACCTGCAGAACAGGGGCTGCAACGGGTCCTGCTGTCCCCCAGCTCCCTGCCACCTGGGGAGGGGACAGGAGGTGGCAGGGTCGAGTCCCCCCTGCCGTGGGATTGCTGCCGGTGGAGGGATGGTGCCCACTGCATGCCCGTGGGGTGCCCGTGGGGTACCCATTGCATGCTCGTGGGGTACTCACAGTGGTCCAGGCTGCACAGGGGTGTCTTGAGTGTTCGGCCGCATCCTGCTCGGTGCCCGTGGGTGACAGGCACCAGGGGCCAGGTTTCTCTCCAGGGACCTGCTCCCCGCGTCCGTCCCCTCCAGCACAGCTGAACCCCCTGTCTCAGCACCCGGGGTCACCCGCGTGAGGGGCAGGTGGGCAGGGCTGCCCTTGGAGACCCCGGCTCCCTGGGGTTCACTCCCGTGGGATGTGGCTGATGAGGCTCGGTGGGAGCTGGGGGGGGAACACCCTCCACCCAGGGTGCACAGCAAGCCCCCCCGGGCCGGCTGCTGCCGTGGCGGTGTTTCCCTGTGGTTTTACGGCCCAATTTCCTGCCGCCTCCCGGTTTGGCTGGTGGGGCTTAGTGTGATGCCGGGTTCATGCCATGGCCTCGGCGTGGCGGGTGCATGCATGGACACCCCGGCACGTCTCCCCGTCCCACATCACCTCCGGGGCCAAGCTCGCCCTGGGGCAGCCGGGAGCTCGCAGGCAGCATTGCCCCGGCGCACAGCCTGTGGGCCATGCGTG